TTTTTCTTCTTCTCCTTTCTTCTTGTTGATCACCATAATTAGAGAAAAGATTTTCGAACGTTTAATCAAAATATTGTTTAAAATGTTGATCAAATGTTTCATCTTCAATTACCTCCAAATTATTTTGATAAAAAGATGCCATAAATTAGTTCAAATTGTTTTAGAATATAATTTGTGAATAAAATGGAGAATGAGACGAATGAGAAGAAGAAGAGGTGAGAAGTATGGACGAAGAATGAAAAGTATGGGAGAAGAGTGAGTTTGTTAATATGATGAGATGACTTAAAGAAGTATGAGAAGTATGAGAAGATATCTTCGTGAAAATGAGAAGTTTGTTAAATACAAAAGTATGAGAAGTTTGTGACACAATACATAATAAAATAAATCTAACCACACATGACACATACAAAAAACACAACAAACAAACTTCCGTGACCCTTTGATGACACTATACATGACACATAGAAAATACAAACTTCCGTGACACTACTTGACACAATACTTGACACATACAAAAGAGACAAGACACGTGAATACAAAAGAGAGAAGACACAAAAATACAAAAGAGAGATGACGCACTACTTTCACTCCGTGACTGATGACACACTGCTCTCATACCGCGATTCATCCATTGCCATATCTTCAATAATGCACATGACACACTGTTCTCACTCTGTGATTTTTCCACTGCTCTCACTCTTCTTTGACCTGATAATATTGACACAACAAAACTAGAACATGAGACCAAGAACATGTGAACAAGACAAAAAATAAAACATCAAAAGGCAGTAGAACTAATTATATATATCACATGACACACTGTTCTCACTAATGCACATGACACACTGTTCTCACTCTGTGATTCTTCCACTGCTCTCACTCTTCTTTGACCTGAAAGTATTGCCACAACAAAACTAGAACATGAGACCAAGAACATGTGAACAAGACAAAAAATAAAACATCAAAGACAGTAGAACTAATTATATATATCAAACGGAGACCTTGTATCAAACTTAAGAAACAGAACAACAAAAGCATTTATATTATTCAAACGGAGAAAAGATCACGAGAACAACACAAGCATTTAAAACATTCAACCCATAAGACAGAAACTTAAAAAAACAACAAACAAGAAACAACAAACAACAACAAAAGCACACGATGAAACCAGACCTTAAACAACATTAACTTAAGCTTCTTCTTAGAGTAGAAATAATTAGACAACAACTCATTAATGAGTTTCTTCTTCAGAGCTTCTTCATAGTCAGCTATATTCTTGTTTAACGATTAATGAGTCAAGTAGCCACATCTTTGTCATCCTCTCTTTCACAGCCAAATCCTCCTACTTGATGCTCCACATACTCTCTAATCATTCAGCGCCTTATCCTCCGCCATCTTCTTCTTACCGTGGCCTTTTGATGCCTTAGCACCTGGTGGATGAATGGTTGCTTCCTCATCTTCACCAGTGGTGGTTTCAAATGCGTGAGAGCTAGATGATTGTGCACTGTCATCACACTTTCTCCTTTTAGTGCTTCTTTCGGTTTTAGAACTAGACAATTCACACCATTTCTGGTCATTCCGCAACTCATTCCATGCATACTCAAGAGTGAATTTATTTTTGTGGTTGTTGTAGAAGATCTCATGCACAAGTTTGAGAACATCATTCTAATTTTGGTCGCTACTCTTTTCTCTAATAGCAGCTTCATAAGCCCCACAAAATTTGTTCACTTAATTGTTGATCTTCTGCCACCATTGCTTAAAATGATATGACTCTCTCAGTTCAGAACCTGCAACTTTGAGACTTGCCGCAAAGTATGCAGCAACCCTTTTCCAGAACGCACCAGTTCGTAGCTACAACCGGGTCTTTGCTTGTGTTTAACCAAGCGTTAATGAGGGCAACATCATCTACTGGTGTCCATGTCCTCCTTTCCTTACGTTCTGCAGAGATAGTGATTTCATCTGTCTCTTGACTACTAAAGAGAGACACTTGGGAGGAAGAAACTTCGATACTGTCTTGAACAAAACCAAAGGCAGTGTCTTGCTGACTATTCAGAAGGTCAACAAAGTTTTAGACCAGCCTATATGAATTGGAATCCATATCCGAATGTCTTAAGAGAGAAAGAAAAGATCTATTTTTTTATAGATGGAAGAGAAGAAGAATTTTTTTTATAGAAGAGAAGAAGGAAAGAAGCATTGATCATCATTGATCAGCGCGTACAACACCCAACCATTTCGAGTAGACATTTATCAACACATTAATTTCACTTCAACTTTGATTTCTATCTAACCTCTTACATCTTTTTACTACCTAAAGCAGTGTTAAATCTATCACCAACCACTACATTAGTTACCAAGGGTTCATTTCAGACTAAAACTACAATCAATTCAGTTTAGAACCCAGACTACTATCAACATCAAATTGAGCCTAAGAAAATATTTATCCAACTTTGAATCTATGTAAGTTATCAAGATATGCATCCTGTATTGCAATTGTAGTCGAACCTTGATGTCTCTTGATCCAAACCATTTTGATCCGAACCATCTTAGACGAACCTTGATGTCTCTTAATCCGTTAGACAAACATTCCTATTGATCCAAACCATCTCAACACACAAAGAAAAAAAACAAATCAAAATGGATCAGGGGCGGCCGATTTATTATTCATGAGACATAACCATACACAAGAGAAAGATCATATGAACTACAACTAAATATTCAAAGATTAGACCTTGTATCTAAATGGATCAGTGGTGATCGATTAATCACGAGACGTAACCATACACAAGAGACAGATCATATGAATCAAACTAATCAAAATAACAAAAAGACCACAATCTAAGACATGCATCAATTTAAAAACTAAGACATAAAAAATTACTCTAGTTTACCTTTCACTTTGTCGAGTTGAGCCGTGGAGAGAGATAGAAGTTTTCCACCGTCGAGGAAAGCCGTCGAGCTACCGAAAGAGACGCCACGATTCTTCGCCAACGAGAGATGAAGAACGAGAGGCGGAGTCGTGGAAGAGAGCTAGAGAGAAACGTCGTCGTTGATCAAATAAGACTCAGTCAACGAATCCGCCGACAGAGACGAGGTTTCCACCGAGAGACGCCGACGGCTGCAACTGATTGTTGGGGTCAAAATCGGTACGACGGAATCAACGGCCGAAATCCCCGCATAAATATAAAAGGAATCGTTTTGTAAAACCCGAAGAATCGTTTTATAAAACTCGAGAATCGTTTTATAAAACTCGAGGATCATTTTATAAAACTCGAGAAGCCGTTTTATAAAACTCAAAGATCATTTTATAAAACTCGAAGAATCGTTTTATAAAACCCGAAGAATCGTTTTATAAAACTCGAGAATCGTTTTATAAAACTCGAAGAATCGTTTTATAAAACTCGAAGAATCGTTTTACCAAACCGCAAAAAAACCGAAACAGCCGTAAAACGCGAACTAGTCACGACTAGTTCGCCCACGGGCAAACTAAGCCGGCCCGGCTTAGTTCGCCGATGGGCGAACTAGTCCCGTCCCGGCTAGATCGCCATTGGGCGAACTAAGAGATGCTGACTTTGCCCCACTGGTTCTTTTCGCCTAGTTCGCCATATGGCGACCTAGCCAAGCTGAACTAGCTCGACGTACGTCGAGCCGACCATCCCGAGCCTCGATCTCCCACATCCTTGATTCAAGGCATACGTCCTTCGACACGATCGTATTCCAAATCACGGTCGAAATGTCTCCCGTTTCGTCTCGATCCATCCTATCGTTCGAGTTTTACGATAAAAACCGTAAAACTCCGTTTGCCCGAAAAGAACTCGAAGAAATCGTATAAGACGGTAACGGTTAATCAAAACACCGAACGTCGCCTAAACTATACGATTTATCCGAGATTCTTCGTTAAGATTATAAAAAACACGTTTTTAATAAAAAACGTCGAGAGAATCGTAAAAAAACGGCATCGGATCAGGAAACGGTCTCGTTAAAGTCGTAAAACGGCCCGAAAGGTCCTAAAACACGATAAAAACCCATCTCGCGACGTTAACGAAATCAAACCCAAAGATACGATAACGCTTTGACGGTCTACTCGCAGACGGAAGATAAAAGGCAAGTTTGAAGATAATTAGAAGATTTCCGCAGAAGAAAATGAAGGATCGACATATATGGAAAGTTCCCGAAATATTCGGTTTCGAGCAAAATGGAAAGACTAAAACCGCCTAAGAAGGAGTATATAAGGAGGAGGCATAGGGCAGAAGCTGAGGGACGAGTTTTCAGAGCTTTCACCACCAAACTTAGCATTTAGGCAATTTTCCGTTTTCGTTATCGAGCTGCGTCTCAACTAGGGTTTAGTCTTAGATTGCTAGAACTAGGAATTTCGCCGACGGCTCACGCAGCTAAGGCAACTCTCGTTGTCACCGTTCTTACGCGAATTCGGAATAAGAATCCTTCTTGCTCTCAATCTCGTTTTTCTTTTTATATCTTTCAATTTATTCATATTAATCGCGTTCTTGGTTACTTATCGTTGGCTTTCGCAGAGATCCGGTTCCTCTGGAAAATTAGGGTTTTCCTAACTTTCCTTATTTAACGGAAATCGACAGGTGTGAATTGCGGTTCCCACACTGATCGATGAGAGATCAAGAAAGACCGGCGTATTTGACGAGGAGAGGCCTAGAGAGACACAGTTTCGTCGAGGAAAATGAGAAGGAGAGAGAGAGGCCGAGTATTTTTGTCGAGAGAGATGTATCCCTTTTTTTAAGAAACAATTCTTCTCATCTAATCCATTTTTTTCTTAAAATCCTAACTAAACTAAGTACCCCTTAAGCAACCTGGTTGAACTTTTTTTTTTTTTTTTTTTTTTTTTTTTT